ACATGTCCTAATCACAGTTCATCACGGAGGGAAGCCAGGGCAGGAACCTGGAAGCAGGAACTAAAACAAAGGCCACGGAGGAACCCTGCACCTTGCATCATTTTAAATTTAAGGCTTCCCATGAGGAACAGTGTATGGAAACACTGGAATTTTAGTTTGTTTGATCTGCACATTCTGAAATGGGTGTCTTACAATGGGTTCATCTTTGAAAATTAACTGTAGTCGTGAAATGGAACTTGGAACTGAGTGGGAAGATATTAGGAGGAAGCAATAGAAGGTGAACCATGGGGCTGGAAAAGAGAGCTCCCGACTTGGCAGTCTGTATGATGAGTAGGCTCCCTATGGTAATATTAGGGCTCTTCTGGACCCCTATCCCAGGCACATTCTAGACCGGAGCTAAACAGGCTCTATTCCTGCAATGCAGACAACACTCTGCCTATAGCAAGGGAGGGCTATGTGTTGAAGGAGAAAATAATGCCTTTAGTGACTATCTGCTGCCTAAACTGTGTATAGTCAACACCACTTGTTTGCCACATATTCAAAAAGCCAATTTGTAACCTATTCATATTTAATATGCTCAAATATCTGTTCTGAATCATATGCAGTTATTTGGGGAGGTGGCACAGCAGGTATCCTAACTGGCTATAGACATCTTTGGATTGAGGCCTTGGTCTGTAGGAAGCTAGCCTTGGTCTGCAGGAAGCAATCCCTTCAGAGGCCATCATGGGCTATGGGACTGGATGGGCTATAATCAAAAGGCCTTAGCACACAGATCAGTAGGTTAGGTACCAAGTCAAGGGCCTTCCAGAGCTGACTAAAGGGAAGGTCAGGTCTGCCCCAGGTCCAGACTTCTACTGTCCAGGTCTTCCTATCTTTACATCACCTCCTGGGGGCCTTCTAGAAAGGAGGTTTCCCAGAGCTATTCCAGGGCACTTGAAGAATTATAATAATAATAATTATTATTATTATTATTTATTTTTGTCTTTTTGAGACAGGGTCTCTCTGTAGCCACAGAGGATTAAAGGCGTGCACCACCACACTGGGCTTTAAAAAAAAAACAAACTTTAATGCTGGGTGTGGTGGCGCACACCTTTAATCTCAGCACTTGGGAGACAGAGGCAGGTGGATCTTTGTGAGTTTGAGGCCAGCCTGGTCTACATAGTGAGTTCCAGGACAGCTGGGGCTACAGGGAGATCCTGTCTCAAAAAGACTATATATATTTTTACTTTTTTTTTTTTTCTGTGTATAAGTGTATTGCCTACATGTGTGTAAGTGTACCTGTGTGATACCATGTTTGCAGAGGTCAGAAGAGGGTGTTGGATTCCCTGGAACTGTAGTTATGGACAGTTGTTAGCCGCCATGTGGATGCTGGGAGTTCAACCAGGGTCCTCTGCAAGAGTAGCCAGTATTCTTAACTGATGAGCCATCTCTCCAGCCTCACTTGAAGAATTATTAAAAATGGCCATGGCTTCAGCTCTATGCATAGTCACTAGTCCAGGTCATGATTAACATTATTCAGTGTAGCAGGGCGGGCTGGTGAAGTTGAGTGGCTGGGCATTTGTACCCAGTAGGTGTGACTCCAAGGTGTTCCCACAGCCACGGCCTCTGGGACCTTTGCACCTTTCCATTCTGTATGGGCTGAGAAAGGGTGGAGAAGACCCACTGTATGCATGCTATTATTAGACTGAGAGCCTTCTTTCTTTTGGGTGGGCCCATGCATGATGCATCAGATTCCATCCTGGGTTGGAGGTGCCCAATGGCTCTACTTGGCATTCTCAAGCCCATGCCCTGGAATTTTCAACGCTGCCATCTAGAGGTTTCTGAAGTGCATTTCTACTGTGAGCTGGGACAGGGCAGAGATCCTGCAAAGGCTAGCAGAAGGGATGCAGGGCTCCTTCACGGAGGACAATGCACTCAGCGGACACAGGGTACCAGGAGCGTGAATCTGCATGCAGGGAGCATGCCTGTGGCCCAGATGGATGAGGTTGCCCTACTCAGTCTCTCCATTTCTTTTCTCTGCTTGCCAAATATCCCCATTTTCTTTGATTAAGTCACAATTAATCTGCTCTCTATGGGAGAAGCAGCAAAGTGGAGCAAGGGAACCATCTGGGCCAGGGGCGCTGGCAGCAGCCAGATGCCATCAGTGTGTTGGTGGCTAGCCTGCCAGAGCAGCTGGCCAGTGAGAGCAGTGATGGCTGTTGTCACTGCATTTCTAACTTTGTGTACTATAAAACTAGGGGTATCCATCTGTCAGAAACCTTTTAGAAAAGGCATCAACCCTTCCTGGAGACAAAGCTCTCCCCTGCTGTCTCAGCAGCAGTCATCAGTACAGAAGCAGACCACACTGACACACCCCACATACTTCTTTATCTGTGTGCACAAGACCATGCTTCATCCCGTTTGCTCCAGCTGGGAAGGAGTCTCTTAGGAGGCCTTCTCACCTGGCACCCTAGCCAAATCCACCTGGGACGGGGGTGACTCATCTATATTGGCAAGTGAGTTTAACTCCAAGCTAGTTGGTCACTGTCTATGGATTATACCAATTTATGCAAATATCTTAGGAATGTCTTCACTGGGTACTTTACCAGCTGGTTTGCAAAGCTCTGGTAAGACCCAGAGGTGAAGACAGACTGCAGAGCTGCAGGCAAGCCTGCAGAGCCAGCGAGAGCCATCTGCTCTTCTGACAGTGATAACCACTAACTTTTGAGCCACAGCAGCATGGTAAACTTGATTCCATTTAAACCAAACATACTAATTCACCAAATGACTCAAAGACAATGGATAAAACCAATATTGGACACCTTTGCGTAAAGTAAGTGATGTCTTGATAACACAGGACACTGTATAAAAACATCACCCCAGGGGCTGGGGAGTTAGCTCAGTGGCTAAGAACACTGGCTGCTCTTACAGAAGACCAGGATCCAACGCCCTCTTCTGGCCTCTGTGGGCATTGAATGCATAGGTGCACTTATGTACACGCCTGCAAAACACTCATAAACAAAAAAATTTTTAAAAAGCATCATCCTGATCTAAGATTTGCACACTGAACATAGACTTTCTTCATTCTTCGGTGAGTCTTCCACATAAAAAAAGCTCAGCTTCTGGGTAAATGACAGGATTGTGGATGCTGAGAACTCTGTAACTGTTTCTATTTCCTCTCTGCTTTGGCTACCACGTTGTCAGGCCTGGCAGCAAGTGCCCTTACCCCACTGAGCCATCTGGTTGGCTCCATATCTAGGGTTTTGTTATGTATCCCAGGCTGGTTTTGACCTTGTAATCCTCCTGCCTTAGCCTCTTCCTGGGCATAGGTCCTCTCAGGCCCTCTCCTAAATGCTGACATAGGTGTGTATCAATTGATTCAATTGTGTTTTAAGATGTAAGGGCTGGAGAGGTGGCTCAGAGGTTAAGATCACTGGCTGTTTTTGCAGAGGACCCAGGTGTGGTTCCCAGCACCCACATGGCAGCTAACAGCCATCTGTAATTCCAGTTTCAGGGGATCCAGAGCCTTCTTCTGGCCTCCACAGACATTATATGCATATAGTGCTCTGCATCCATGCAGGCAAAACACTCATACACATTAAAAAAAAAAAAAGATGTAAGAAGAGTTACCACATGAAAAGAGCTGCAACAAGATTTCTCCACCAGAGATGAACGTGTCAGAAAGTACATGGTTTCTATCTTCTGGTTATGTTTTGAGTAGGGTCCTAGTATAGGCTGGCCTAGACCTTGTGATTCTCCTGCTTAAGCCTCCAGAGTGCTGGGATAACAGTCATATGATACCATATCCAGCTCCTTCTGTCTTCTACGTTATGGCATGAACAGTGAAGTAGACACAAAGCCAAGAGAGTGAGGTGCTGAATTCCTATCCACACTCTTGTGAGGGCCTCCTTGCTCTCATCACTCTGTATTCTGCTAGGAGCACTGACATCACCATCCTGGACCACAGCACTTTTTACAAGAAGAGCCAGGAAATGAGGAGAAACTTGACAAATATGACAACAGCTTTTTCCAAAAATTATACTACACTGCCATTCCTAACAGTTATGTGTAGCTAAAGCCCTTCCATACATATTACCTCACTTACAAGGAACACTGGGAGGAAGGTCAGAGAGCAATGTCATTCCTAGCCCAAGACGGAGAATCTCAGTGTGTGGGGTTGCCCATAGCATGTGAATAGTAAAGATTCTACATTCCACATCTCTTCCTGAAGCCACTGATGGGGGTGACAGTTTGAGGTTCTGCTGATGCAAAAGTTGTTACTCTGAAGTTGGGAACTGAGTGATGGCTGTTACTGCCCAGTGTCATTATGAGTGCCGAACATGACTGCAGTGCTCTGCTTGTCAGGCACAGCATGGCCTGACATGCTCTTGAAGTGGCTGGGCACGTGCTCACCTGTGTGATTTCCATGTAAGGAAAGTGTTTCTGTTTTCTGCTCCTGTGAGCACTAAGGGAAGGGCTTTGAGCACTCAGGTTCTCCCCAAACCACCCTCCAAACCCCCAAATAATGTTAGGAGCAAACACCATGGCCACACTATTCTAGCACCTTGTGTATAAGGGAAATGAGATGGTGTCCCTTGGGATGGGGGAGAAGGGTGTGGCCTGAGTGCTAAGGAAGTGGACTGAAGATCATGACAGTTACCTGGCTGCAGACGGTCTTGACCCTGTGTAGTCTGTCCAGAGACTCCTGCGGGTTCCCCAGATACTGCTGCAGATCCGCGTGCAGAATGCGCATGGAAAAGGGGACCATGGAGCCTAGAGTTGAAATTAGAGCTGAGTTAGAGATCGTGCTGTGGCTGTGTTTCCTGATTGCATGCAGGAAGGAGGCATTTGCAAGTGTTCCAGTGGAAGTGAGGACATGAGCCCTTTATTTTTTGGTTCAGCTGTAAAATATAAGTTGCTTTTCTCTGTAAAGCTGCATCTATACATACCTAGACAATTACCAAAGGAGACCAATAGCTGTAGCTCTACAGCAACCACAGAGAGGCCATTACAAATGAATTCAGTAGCAAAGAATAAATGACAGCCAACAAAAGACACAGCAGAATACTTTACTATAGCAGGCTCAAGTATAAGGTTGCTGAACTTGGGTTTCCCAGAAAGGACTGGAAAGAAAGGAACTGGCTCTAGAAGTGCTCCTGGGGCCACCAGTAAGGGGTCAAATAGCTCAGTGGAGGGTCAGGTAGCTCAATGAGGGGTCAGGTATCTCAGTGAGAGGTCAGACAGCTCAGTAAGGGCATATTTCCAACTGGGCTCTGAGGATGGCGCTCCTGCCAGTTTTTGTGGTTAGTCTCTGGAACCTCTGCCCTGCCTCTGAGCTGTTACAGTGGAGGACAGGAAGCTGGGCTGGTAATCCTACTGCTTAGCTGCCTGGCTTTGAGACACAAACTATCCAGTATTGAAGCCTGGTTGCCCTTGATCTCTCAGGAGAAAAGAAACTTTCTGTTAACACTATGTTCTCTTCTAATAGGACTTGGAATTTGATCTAAAGTGCATATATTAAGTACCTAAAAACTGTCTCATCAATCAAAGAGCCCATGCTGAGTACAAATGAGATAGACTACCTGCTAGAGTTTGCCTATGAGTTTCCCCCGCTGTTCTAGTTTCTCCATTGCTGTGACAAAATACTCTGACCAACACCAACTTGGGGAAGAAAGGGTTTATTTGGCATACATCTCCTGGGCCACAGTTCATTAGGGAGCCCAAGGTAGGAACTCAGGGCAGGAAAGTGGAGGGAGGAGCTGAAGCACAGGCCATGGAGGAATGCTGCTTACTGGCTTGCTCCCTGGTCCATGCTCAGCCTGCTTTCTTATATAATACAGAACAACTTGCCCAGGGGCAGTACCATCCACAGTGGGCTGGACCCTACCACATCTCTCAAAAATCAAGAAAATATCCCAGAGACATGGCCACAGGCCAGTCCAATGGAGGTAATCCTGACTGAGGATCCCTCTACCCAGGTGTGTCAGCTTGACAACTAAAGCTATCCAGTACACTCCAATAGACTCGTGCTTTCTGTTTTCAAAGATCTATCTATCTATCTATCTATCTATCTATCTATCTATCTATCTATCTATCTATCATCTATCATCTATCTATGTTTATGTCTGTGTGAGTGTATGCACACATGTATGTGCAGGTACCCATGCCAGAAAAGAGTGTTGGATCCCTTGGAGCTGGAGTTACAGGCATCTGCACGACTCCTGGCTTGTTATATGGGTGCTGGGAGCAGAGCTCTAAGCCTCATGACTGCACAACAAGCTCTCTTAACCACTGAGCTGTCTGTCCAGCCCAGGCTCATGTTTTGAACATGTGTCTATCAGCTGGTGGCACTATTCTGAGAGGTTCTGGAGACTTTAGGAGATGGAACTCCTAAAGTGGGCAGGACACTGGGATGGGTCCTTGGAATTATCCTATCTCTGGTCTTTTCCTGTCTTGCTCTCTGCTTCCTGCCCACTATGAGGTGAAGAACTTCCTTGGCCACAAGCTTTCAATGCCATGATGTTCTTTCAAGTGCCTGGGGCCAAGTGACTGTGGTGGACTGAACCATCTAAAATCATGAGCCAAATAAACCCTTCTGTAGGTTGTTCCTGCCAGGTATTTATTTGGTCACAGAGACGGAAAGTCTGACTTCACCATTCACCAGCCCAGTTGCAGCTTGATTTCTCTATGTCCTGTAACCAAGGTGTGCAGCATCCTCAGCAACAGGTCTTGCATCTGAACTTACTGAACTTTCTAATGACACTAAATAGTTTCTACATATGAAGAGGGTGAATGACTGAGTTTAAAGTATGGTATGAGCCATTCACAGGTAATGTCTTTTCCCTCTCTATGTATCAACAAGATACAGGGCAACAGTCACTCCTCCTAAGGCCCAGGATGCACCTCTACGGAGACAGTATACCTCAGCAAGCTCAAGTTCTGGAGAGCAAAGAAACGAACTCCACCACACCACTGAAGAAAACATTCTCAGTTCAATGTACAAACCAACTATGCACAGTAAGGATGACAGGGTGGGGTGGCGGTATCACCTGCTTTGTAACCTGACTTGGGGAAATTTTGGCACTTATAAGAGTGTGTAAAGAACAATTATAAAGCAAAACTAAAATGAAAATAAAAGTGATCTGAATTTGTGGAATGAAGCAAATGCAGTGGCAAGAGGAATACATTTTAAGCATTAAATGTATATAATAGAAGAGAAATATGTAAAAACAATCCTCTAGGTTTCTGTCTTAGCTAACTAGAGAAAGATGAGCAAACTAACATAATAGCAGAAGAGAAGAAATAATAAAAACCGGAGCAGAAACTCATAAAATGAAAACAAGAAATCAGCTGACAAAATGAACAAAAACAAAAAGTTTATTATTTATTTTTTTGTCTTTTTTGAGACAGGGTCCCCCTGTAGCCCCAGATGGCCTGAAACTCGCTATGTAGGCCAGGCTAGTCTTGAACTCACAGAGATCTGCCTACCTCTGCCTCCCAAGTGCTGGGATTAAAGGCATGTACCACCATATCTGGCAAAAAAACAAAACCAAAACAAAACAAGAAACCAAGGGAAGACATGAACTATTAGCACGAAATGAAGGCAGGGTCATGTCTACTGATCTTGCTGACATTAAAAGGAAGAAAAGTAATTTTATGAAATGTTTTGTGTACATAAATTTGATAACTTAAATGAAAAATTTTCTCCCCCAAAAGAAAGTGACAGGCCTAGATAGTTTTCCTAACAAATTCTACCAAATAGCTAAGGAAGAAATACTTTCATTTCCCTCTTCCTTCCAGAAAAGAGAAGAGGAGGAAAACTTCCTAGCTTACCATTACCCTAATATTAATTCTAGTAAAAGATATCACCAGGTATGGTGGCAATGGCTTTAATCCCAGCATTCAGGAGGCAGAGGCAGGTGGATCTCTGTGAGAGTGAGGCCAGCCTAATCTACAAAACGCAGGAGACCCTACCTCAAAAACCAAAACCAAAAATCAAACCAAATAAAAAAGATGACATATACACACACAAAAAAACCTGAAAGCAAAAACCAAACAACTGCATACTGATATGTCTCATGAATATGTATACAGAAGACCTGAACAAAATTAGCAAAATGTATCTGAAAAATAAAACAAAAATGCCAATCAAATCCCAAAATATATAAAAATAAATATGCACTCTGACCAAATGGGATTTATTCCAGATATGCATGACTGAATCAACTTTCAAAAATCAATTAGTGTAATCCATCACATCAAACAGGCTCAAGAACAATAAATCTTGTCAATAAGGCAGAAAACACATGAGTCAAAACAGAACACCTATCTATACAAACACTTATCTCAGCAAACTAGGACTCCAGGGAAACTGCTGCTACTTGATGAAGTGACTTCAGTTAAAGAGCTGCACTTAACACACTTAATGGTGGAAAACTAGACATCTTCCACTAAGACCAAGAATAAAGCATCTCACCCTCTCTCATCAATCCCACTGAACGATGCATTTAAGTTCTACTTAATACCATAATACAAGAAAAGGAAACAAAGCATTCACACAGTAGGAACAAAGAAATAAAATCACATTCACAGAGGCTGGAGAGATGGCTCAGTGGTTAAAAACACTGGCTGTTCTTGCAGAAGACCCGGATTCAAATCCCAGCACCCACATGGCAGCTAACAGCTGTCCATAACTCCAGTTCCAGGGAATCCGATAGCCTCTTTGTCCTCTGCGGGCATTGCACGACACGGGTGCACTTACCTACATGCAGGCAATACACACACATAAAAATAATAAATAAAATATTTTAAAAAATCACATTCACAGATGACATGATTATGTAAAAAATCTGAATGAATCAGCAAAAATAACACCTCATACTAATACACAATTAAAAGTTACAGGATACAAGACTATGTAAAAGTCAACTGGATTCATAAAATACCAGTAACTAACTGAAATTAAAGCACAATTCCATTTATATTAGCATAAGAACAAATCCTTAGGAATAAGGGAAAATATGCACAAGACAGTATGAAGAAACCTAAAACTTCTGATGAAAGAAATCAGAGACTTAAATCAAGAGGTATCTCATGTTCATGGATAGGAAAACTCATTTTAGCTACATTATTTCCTTATAACACATATACAGATTCTATGCAATCCTAAACAAGTTATTTTGTAGTTAACAACAAGGTATTACAATGTTTAGATTTTGAAGCAAAAGATTCAGAATATTCACAATACTAACAAGAATAAGAAGTTGGAGGATATATATATATATATATATATATATTACACTATTTTGTGATTAAAAAATGTACTATTGGGGCTAGAGAGATGGCTAATGGTAAAGAATGCTTGGTTACCACTCTTGCAGAAGACCCTAGGGCCTGAGTTCATTTCCCAGCATCCACATCAGGCAATAGCAGCAGGAGTTGCCTGTAACTTCAGCTCCAGGGGATCTGATGTCTCTTCTGTCCTCAAAGGGCACCTGCAAGCACGTACACACACTCCTGTCCCCCAATAAGTAAAAATAAATCTTAAAAAAATGTACTGTTAGAGAAGGGAATATATATAGTTCTGTGGTAGAAAAACTGCCTAATGTGTACGAGGACCTGGTTTCAATCCCTGGCACTGGAAGTATAACATACTATTGTGGCTTGAATGAATTTCCCTGTAGGCACCAAGAATTTGAGGACCTGGCTCCAGTTGGTGTTGCTGTTTTGGGAGGTTTATGAGGCATGGCCTTGATGGAAGAAGCATGTCAATGGTGGTGGGTTTTACCCTTGCCCACTTTCAGTTTCACTCTCTGCTTCCTGTGCCTGCCCAAAGACATACGTGCTCAGCTTTCTGGTCCAGCTGCCTCTGCTGCCATGCCTCCCCACCCACAGACTCATTCCTCTGGAACCATTCACCAAATAAACTCTTCCTTCTATAAGTGGCCTTGGTTACAGTGTTTTATTACAGCAATAGAAAAGTAACTAGTTCAGACAGTGGGGTGCTCCTGTGAATAGCCTGACCATGTTTTTATGAAGAATGTGCAAGACTTTGGGTGTTTGGACTAGAAAAGTAATTGAATGCTGTAAACTGAGTTTAATGGGCTATTCTAATAGAGGCCCAGCTCAAGATGTTCTAGAGAGAGCTAGAAACAAGGACTTAAACAGCAACTGGGAACATTTAGCAAGGAGTCTGGCTACTATCTGCCTGAGGCCCAAGAAGTTGCCCAAAGGCTAATTTAAAAAGTAATGGACTAATTTCTTTGGCAGAGGAAATTTCAAGACACTCTAATATTAAATTGGTGGTCTAATTATTAATGGTGAATATTATGCAGATCTACAGTGAAAGAGAATAGGGCAGAAAGAAATAGAAAATTTACAGTTCGGAGTGAAAAAGAACACTAGGAAGTTTAATAATGAGGCAGCCAAGGCATGTCCTGGAGGAGAGGCTCTCTTTGACTAGGAGATTAGAGCCTCCAGCTTTGCATTTGAACAGTGAAGGAATACCCTCAGGGCAAGAACCCACCCAGTTAAGCTTCCAACTTATGAAAGGAAAAGGCCTAAGGGGTTTTCTGCTCCTAGAAAACTAGAACATAAGAAAAAAGCTGCTGATAATGTGGACAAAGGCCAAATCAAGGTCCATCCCAAGCTGGCAGCCAAGTGTAACAATATTATTTACATGGGGATAGCTTTAGACATGAAGGATGCAAGAGTGAGGTGGTCATCAGTTTTTTTTTTCTTCAGCTGTTTCAGAGAAGTGTGAAGTCCAGGCAGCATGTAGCAGGGGAGTCCCTGCATAAAGAAGGTCCGAACAGGCCAGGAGGAGCTGAGAAGCTGTGAAGGTGAAGCATGACTGGCAACAGAGATTCAAGATGTTGGAGATGCCAGAGCCATGAGACATCTGCCAAGGAGAGCTGCATACAGGGAGTGGTACCAATCCAAGAGAGAGAGGTATATAGCTGGCAGCAAAGGTGGAGGGTTGAACCATCTAAGCCCTTTGAAACTAAAGTCCCAGATACTGGACTTGGAGCTATAGGACTTGGCATTTGCCCTGCTGGTTTTGGTCTTGCTTTGGCCCAGCATTTCCCCACTATGCCCCATTCCTCCCTTTTGGAACGGGAATGTGTATTCAGTTTCATTGCATGTTGGAAGTATGTAATTTGTCTTTTTACTTTACTGGGGGGCTTATAGTTAAAAGAGATTGCTTTGAGTCTCAGAAGAAACTTTGGACTTTTAAACAGTGTTGAAACTCTTAAGGACTATGGGGACTTTTAAGGTTGGACTAAAGGCATTTTGAATTATGATATGGCTATGATCCTATGGGGGCAGGGTGGAATGTGTGGTTGAATAAGGAATGCCCCCCCCCCCAAACTCCCAAGTATTTGAATACTTGGTCCCAGTTAGTGGCACTGTTTTGGGAAGTTGATAAGGTGTGGCTGGAGAAGCATGTCACTGGAGATGCCCATTTCCAGTTTCCTTCTCTGCTTCCTGTGCCTGCTTGAAGATATGAGCACTTAGAGCTGCTCCAGTCACCTCTGCTGCCATGCCTCCCCACCTTGATGGACTCTTATCCCTCGGAACCACAAATAGATGCTTTCTCCTATAAGTTGGCACTTTATTACAGTAACAGAAAAGAAACTAATACAACTATTAGACCAGAAAATAAAGAATGGTAGATGGAACATTCCCCATTGTAAGAAGCTATTGGAAAGACTGCATATAGTGTAGAACTCAAACAATGTGGAGCACAGGGAACTTTCAGGCAGTGAGACAGTCCTGAATGCCACTGTAATGGTGGATACCTGAGAAGCTCTTCCCATGATTTCCTTCACAGACATGAACTTAAAGTTTACCAGTCAAACATGATTACTTCTATTTTCACTATCATGTTCAGCAATGCATGGCTAAATTTATTCGGATCAAGTAACAATCTGTAACAATTATGGCTGTGTTTGAACACTTGGTCCCCAGCTTGTGTTTAGGAATGTCCCCCACATTTAGCAAAGCTGTTAAGCCTTTAGGAGTGAGGCCTAGCTGGTGGAGATTGGCAACTGGAGGTGGGCCTTTGAGGGTTGTAAGCCAGCTCTGCTTCTTTCCCAGACTCTGCTTCCTGGTATGGCCACCATGTGAGGAACTCCATCATGTACTCTAATAATAGCCATGGAGCTGCTCTGTCACAAGGATTGTACCCTCTGAAACTGTGAACCCAAATAAACAGTTCCTTCCTTGTGCTTGTCAGCTATTTTGTCACAGGAATAATACCATATATTCATTTCTGTCAAGCAAGAAAGGGTCCTTCTTACTTTCATATTGTTCCTAGCCACCTCTCAGCCTTCTGAAACAGTCCAGTGCTGAAAGACTATATGGGGCTAAGAGACAACAAAGTGAGTTCTGTGTGAGAACACGTCCTGGACTTGCTGAGGATGTGCCTTGGGCACCTGGTCTCAGTACCTCTCACCTTCACAGCACTGGCTCTGTTCTGCAGCATTGCAGGGAAGGTGAACTATGGCCGAGTCCCTCTCTTCCCAACCAATTGCACTTGGCTCTCTATGTCTCAGAGGTCTGGGGAAGTCCCACAGCCATGCTCTTCAGGGGCTGCAACTTGTAAACAAATTTACCCATTTTGGTCAAGTATACCATAATCTGGAAGGCCAAGGCAAGGAGGATCATGAGTTTGAGACCAGCCTGGACTACAGGCAGTTCTAGGCTCCTTGGGCTACATAGTGAGTCCATGTCTCACACACAAAAAAAAGAGAAAAAATTTTTTTTTACTCATTTCTTCCTTGAATATGGGGAAATATGGCATAGTTACAAATAAAATGAATATTAATATAGCAAAATTCTTTCATAATTGAATTTTAACATGTTTAAAAAAATACTCAAATTTGTGAAGCGTTCCATATTTTTAGGAAAGGACACCCCAAGTGGTCAGGCTGGGGCTGCAGCCAGTGAGTCTCTCTTCATCTCTAACCATGCCTACTAAGCTAAGGTGACCTAAGCCTGCCCCATCAACACTCCAGGCCCCTGCCTACACTTGCTGTTGAAGAGGGGGGGTCCTTCAGGCTTTTTCCCATTACTCTTGCCACCCTCTTGACTTTGGTGTGTGGTGTTGTCTTTGAATGCTAACTCTGTCATCCCTCCCAGCCCACTGCCAATAAACAACTATTTAAGAGGGGGGGGGAAAACCCTTATTTGATACAATATATGCTAATATGCTAACAAAAGAACTAAAACCTTAAAAAAAGATTTTTTTTTTTCAAATGTTAAGGTTCCCTCTACAGAGGTTCTGTGCCCCATTCCCATGTACCCACCCATGATCATAACCCTATTCAGCTGTTCATCCCTCAGGCAGACAGAGACGCAACCCCAGGTTTACTCTGTGGTAGGAGTGACAGTGTTTCCTATATCCAGGAACTGTTCCTGCAGTCTCTGCACTTTGTACACCATCATCAGCAGGAACTACCTCTCCATGTCCCAGTCCATCCCGGTTGTTAGCACTGTCTCACCTGGCCCCTCTGCAGCACCTTTACCAGGAACCAGCAACGGGGTGTGCTCTCCACCCTCCACAGACGCTCACAGTGATTTGCAACGTGCTGCCTTGTGACTTAAATCTGGACTCTTGTAGGAGACAAAAGAGGCAGCAGTGACAGGACCCAGAGCAGTCTTTCAACACAGCACCACTGTCTACACTTGTCTCAGAAACATCAGGAACAAAGTGAAGCTGATGCAGGAAAAGGCTTCCTTCTAGGCCATGAGCTTGCATGGTGCAAGAGGCCTGTCCAGATTAAAATCCTCAAGAACACAGATCCAGAGGACAGCACATAGCCTTATATGAAAGAGGAAAACAAGGGAACTAAACAGAAGGAAAAACACTCTTTCCTAGAAGAAATATGAGGTTCTTAAAATTGAAATAGGAATAGAACATTCAGGACAATTGTCTATATTGTTCCATGTTGAGTATGTGGACTTAACATGGAAGACATTCATTCAGCACATTTTTAAGGGCCAAGTATAAGGTCAGGCCCTGTAGCCATTGAATACTATCCTGTCTCTTCAAGGTGTGCAGACAGAAGCTGCACTGATGCAAGCCAGAACTGTCTTAAACGCACCCAACAGTGCCTTTGTGCTAATTCTCCCAGTCTGGCTGATCTGACCTATCTGAGCTGCTGGGAATTTCAGCTGCATCTTTCATATGCAGCATGGCTACCAAGAGCAATAAAGTATGCAAGGCTTGCACAGCGCCTCAGGCCTGCCTCTTTCCTGCAGGGAGAAAGCATCATGGTAGAAAGAAAGGCCAGTTGGAATCCATAAGAAAACACAATTCCTAGTGGATCTGTTTCCTGTGGAGGATTCCCATGTATAGTCATGACCTGCTTAAATCTAGGTTGGTATAAATACTGTAGAAGTGTTCTATTAATCATTTAGAAAATATTAAATGAAAATACCCCTTCAAAATTTATTTCAGACGGTCCCCTGCAGTGCTGAAAATCTATACTGCCATTGCAGAAAATCAAAGGGAAATGTTCTAGAAATTCACCAGGCCTTGGTGTGAACAGTGAAAAATGAAGGGAGAAGAGGCACATTAGCCTGACCTTTTTGGGTGCCACTGCTGTTCTCAGAGGGGGTTTTGGCAGCGTGGGGCAGTGGCACAGCATGGACTTGCGGCCACATACTCACTGCTTGTGCTGGGCAGTTATGCCCCCTCCCCTCCCCAGTATTTCTTGTATTATCTTCAAACAAGGACTGAGCAGACACTGACCCATGACCTATGGTGCACAGTTGCTGCTGGCACAGAGACCACATGGGAAAGATCCCCGCCACACCCTCTCCCCAGATCAGGAATGTTTACGCTTCTTTCACTGAGGCAAAGATCCAGAAGTCCACCTCCACTTTCTTTTCTCATTTTTATTACAGGGACACTTTGCTGAACTGTCCCTGGAGCATTGGCTCCATCAAGTATTCCCGACACCATCCCTCCTCCTCTGCCTTTCATGGTACCTCCTTCCCTATTGCCAGGTGGCTGGCAGTATGCCTTCCACTTCCCTTCTTGTGGGGCTCCATGCTGGAGACACTGCCAAGTGTGTGTCTGTCCAGGGACAGATGCCTACAACCCTCTGCAGTCATCTTCAAATCAGTGCTACATTTGTAAAGAGAAGCACATCTAAGATCAAATTTTTATTATGTAAATGGCTAATTCAATCAATGTTTCTAGAGCCAGGAAAGGATGATGTTAAGGACTAACCAGATCACACTGCCAAGCAATGCTTAGCTGCAGTACTGACTTCTCAGTTCTCCAATGTACTGGGGTTAAGAACAGGCCTTTACTTGGATGGTCCAATGGAAGCAATGAAAACTCAAATTCAAAGTTTTTATATCTTCAATAGTTTGTTCTAATGCTAGAGTTTGTGAAAACGATGAGCAAAGTGAAAAGCAGCAAAAAGCCTCTTCTTCCTCCTCCAGCTGGGAGAGAAGTGTGCATCCTTCCTCCTCCAGGTGTGAGAAGCAGGAAGTGTGCATCCTTCCTCCTCCAGGTGTGAGAAGCAGGAAGTGTGCATCCTTCCTCCTCCAGGTGTGAGAAGCAGAAAGTGTGCATCCTTCCTCCTCCAGGTTTGAGAAGCAGGAAGTGTACATCCTCCCCTCCCAGGTGTGAGAAGCAGGAAGTGTGCATCCTTCCTCTTCCAGGTGTGAGAAGCAGGAAGTGTGCATCCTTCCTCCTCCAGGTGTGAGAAGCAGGAAGTGTGCATCCTTCCTCCTCTGATTTTGGGGAGAAGGAAGAACATATCCCTTCAACAGCAGCCAAGTAGGAAGAACACACCCTTCCTTAGTGCTTGGGAGTTCGGGAAGGATAATGTGAGCTACCAAGCTAAATTTAGCATGACACATTAACCGCAAAAGGTAAGCTAATTTTGCAGTTGGGAGAAAAAAAAAAACCTCAGGTGTTGGGAATATTATGCTGCATATTTTATTCTGAACTACCATGTCTGATTCTGTGCGGAGATAAAGGAGTTTCAGAATCTAGTTTGGGAATGAGACATGTAAGCTGCAGACTTTGGAGGGAGCAGAGGACTCAAGGTGACAATTCACCTTGACTCGTTCACACAGAGGAGCAGATAGTCATGGGAGGACAGAGAGATTTAGCATCCAATTAATTCAAGAGTCTGTCCCATCAATTCCAGTCTGACGTGACGGTAATCCATAAGGATTAAGCTCTGAAATAAGATTTCATGGCACCACTGCAGCTGTAGGAACCTGAGCTAAGCACACACCTGAGCACACAAGGACAGGCACTGCTTAAGAGACATGTTGAAGATAATCAAAATGTGTTCTTTCCCTGTAAAAAGTCTTTCTGCCTCCTATTTCCCTCTAGCTGCACTGAAAGAGAAAGAACTGTTCAATGTCAAGCAGTCCTATGAAAACCCAAACCAATGCCATGATGAGACTTTCTTTAGAATGAGAGAGGATTCTAAACAGGCTGAAAAATGGTAGTGGGGGTCTAGGAAGATCTAAGTGCTCTATGACAGGCCAAAATTAAGTAGGTTCAAAATGGGCATTTTAGGGGCTAGAGAGATGGCGCAGCAGTTAAGAACACGGGCTGCTCTTACAGAGGACCCAGGTTTGATTCCTAGCACCCACATGGCAGTGAACAGCTGACTGTAACTCCAGTTCTAGGGGATCTGACACCCTCTTCTGACCTCCAAGGGCATTTTGCATGACATGGGTACACTTATATACATGCAAGCAACAAACTCATACACATTAAAAAATTAAATTAAAAATAATAACAATAAAATTAAAATGTTGACATTTAACTTCTTTGAATATTAAAAAATAGTGAATGCATACAAGTGAACTTAAGTTCACTGACTATCTGCTAATAGTCATGTGTCAGTGTTGGGTCATCAGTTAGAACTGTGCCATATTGTGCCACACCACACCAATGTTAACACAGGTATGCAATGAACAACCTACTCACACTATCCAGGGATGTAACTCCTGTCAAAACTTGAATACAAAAAAGCTTGTAACTGGAGAAACAACCTGTTCCAGTATAATAATTTCAAAGCAAAACAATTTAATTAAGAGAAAATGAAAACTGGATGGCTACCATGGTCATGAAGGAAGGCTCTCAAAAGCAAAGCAGTGTTTTGGAGCAATATTTTAAAGTTCCCAAGACAGCAATTCTCATTCTGAACACTTAAAGACAAACAGACAA